AAGAAGTTGTTCAACTGATTGCAAATAGGTAGCGGACAAGGGATATATGTTTTTTGGACATAAAATGGGAGATGGGGTGCTTGCTATTTGTTTTTTACTTAATTGAACAAGCTGTAAGAATGAACTTCCATAGTACTTAATACACGTCTGATTTGTTTTTCGGATTATGCAGTCATCAGGAGCACCGGTGTGTTGCCACTGCTCTCGTCGAGAACCAGAGGATCTTCTAGAAAGATGTGATGTTTGCCAGATTCAACGCATTCATATCTTCTGCCTGGATCCTCCAGCTTTTCCGTGGATTTGTGCTAATTGCAAGGATCTACAGAGGCTGTACCTTTACCGCCGTTAATCTGTTAATATCTCTCGATTATTGCATTAGGATGAAAGGATATTAGCTTTCTAGTTACGACACTTTTGTTCATACAGTACAAATATATTTTGGATTTCATTATAAAGTTGATTCGCAAGTGAATTCCCCCTGACTAATAACGATATGAGTAGCCAGGATGCGATAACTGTTCTAGAGAAGGTTGTAAATGCGATCAGTTTGCTTTAAGCGGTTCTCTTGGCTGACATGACTGTCAACTTGGTGTGTTTGGACATGTATTGTGTGTAATGCATATAGAATTATAGAATATAAGGAACGGTACGATTCTTCGGAATCGTTGGTTGACAAGCTTAATGTAGTCTTACCCGTCCTTTAGCCAAGTGTAAGTCACATGTCCACAAATGAGTAAATGCTTGAAACTCAAGCACTGACAAAAGTTTCGGCCGTTCTTATTGCTGCTTGATTTTCTTGAAATATAGTAATTCATTCTGTTCCTCGCTTTGGGGTTTATTTTCTTTCTTTCTCCATTATTCCCTCAATTATCTGGAGATCTTCGGATTTGCCTCTTTCCACTTTAATGGAGGGGTATTTACCCATAATGTCTGAAATTAACGAGAGTTGTCATTAGCAGAGCCTGGTTAGGTAGGAATTCAACAGTTCAAACTCTTAATTCGCTGCATCTTCAGAATTCATATTCACCATCATTAACCCCTGCCTAATACTCATATAGGCATTCTCCAACAAACACCGAAGTTATAGAGTCTCGAGGCTTCTCAAAGCCTCCTAGTAGAACAAGGTGCCTGGATAATTTCAGATTCATCAAATCAACTCTGCTGGGATTGACCAGCAGTCGATCTTCCAACAATTGGTTCCGATAACGATGAAAAGTTTCAGGAAACTCTTCCTTGGGTTTTTAAACGTCCTAATTTTGGCATTCGCAATCTTCCAAACCGTTTGTGTGTTGATATACAATCATGATCCCCCCAACAAACAGTGCTACAAAAACTCTGCCCCGACGATTTTTTGGTTGTCAGCCTACTTGTTGATCATGTCATTGATAGGGTTGATGGCTTCATATTGTAAGTCCGGATCCCTGCAGATCTTTTATGCGTGGCTGATGGCGATGACTACGATTGTGGCCATCACTTTCAGCATTTTCATGTTTTTGACTTTGCCCAATGAGTCCGCAAATGCTACATATCAGAAGACGCAGACCGGAAATTGGCTAGCCGGATTCTCCCCACTCTTGCGCTTAATTTTAGTGAATGATCAGGAATGGAATAGGGCCAAGACGTGTTTGATCGACAAGGGATTATGTCAGGGGTTCAGAAATCATTCTGCCAGTTCGCCATGGGATTACTTGTACTACGTTCAGGTTATTAACAATTTAACATCTTTCTTTATTTGATCGCCGTCTCCCTGTAGTCATCCCCCCCCCCCCCTCTTCTTCTCTTTTCTCTTCCTCTTCTGCGCGGTCATAGCAAAATTCACGATTGGGCAATTTAAGTTTTGATGCATGTTTGATTGATGCTGTGTTGCTTGTCTGCAGTTGGGCTGCTGTAGTCCACCAAAACGTTGTGGTTTTCTGCAAAGAAATGAAAGCTTCTGGGAGATCCCAGAATCTGGGTTTGCTTCCCAGAACGAGGAATGCCAAATGTGGGCAAACAGCAGGAACAGGGGAGGGTGCTACGATTGTGACTCATGCAAAGCAGGTTACCTAACCAAATTCCAGATGGACTGGCAGGCTGATAAGGCACTATTCGTGGCCATCCTTCTCATCCTCATAGTTAGTACCTCCCTCGCCTTCTGGACCTTCGGTTGCAGGGATGAAAGCGAGCATGCCCGTGAACAAAGGAAATACAGGAACATGGTCAATGCTTAGTGTGCCAATTTCAATTTTGTTCCCTTTTGTTGTGGCTGAATCGTTCACTGTAGAATATAGATGGCCAACCAACTTTGGTGGAGTTCAATTTGGGCAATGTTCGTCATATTTGATGCAATTGCCTCTGAATTTGGTAGTTTTGCTGCAGTAGATTGTAAGTACATGTACCAGAATCACTTCTCTCACCCTATCCCATAGCAATAGAGGTGCATTTACGAAATTTAGGCTTAGTGATTGAGAGCTTTTATTGTTGTGCAGATTCTAGATTTGTGTGTCCCTTCAGGCTGCCTTAGGCCTGTGGTTTTCTCAAATCATCCTTTGCTCTAAAAAGTTCAGAAAAGGGGGAAAAAGAGAAAAGAAAACAACAGCAATACAATGCTGTTCTGATACAGTAGCACACTTCTCCATGTATACCATTTTTTAAGTGCTTATGCATTTTTAATTTTAAATCGTTGGGGTTACCAGAGAGGGCCTGACTTGGATGGCATTTTAATTTATGGCTTCCCAAAGCATGACGCAAGTGTTACTCAATTCTTCAACGACTCCGTCTATGAGTTGTCTTTAGTGAATGGTGCGATGGTAGCGTAAAGCGTGCAGGCAGTCATGACAAAAGGACAGCCTATTAGCCTCTCTCTGTCTGTTAGTAACTCACCGACTCTGGCTCGTGATTTTTGTTTTGGTGCATTTTTTTTATTTTATTCTTTCTGGACGCCGGTCACCTGTCAAATCCTCAACCCGCTGTCTTGATACAGCAGATTATTAGTTACAAGGAAATATTCTGGTTTTATTGTTGTTAGCAGAGAATGGACAGATCCACTTAGAAGAATAATTGTTACTAGTGCTGAAGGGACAGTTGACGTGTGTGCAATAATAAATAAATATTTAAAATTTTGTAAAGATATTTGTTAAAATTATTTTTTATGAGATTTGGTTTTATAATACATACAGACATTTACATAAATAAATGTACAAATAAACTATTATTTGGTAGTGCGTAGTTATTAGAAAAAGAGATAGAAGTAGATATGATAGTGGGTAGGAGAGACAAAAGCAAACATGATAATGGGTAATTATATTTGAAGGGTAATTTAGGAAGATCACAAGACGACAACTTTTTTTTACGCCAAAAAGCTCCCTACCCCTTTATATATGATATAGACAAGGACAAGGATAAATTTGAAAACATATAAAGTTAATGTCCAGTTAAAGTTAACTATCTCTACATATGCTTTAGGGTTAATCACATTTTATCCCCTTAAAGAATACCCCATTTCTCAGTTTACCCCCTAACCTTTAATTTTGCTCACTTAACCCCCTTTAGGACAAAATTGCCCTTACATTATTTTGACTTTTCATTTACCTTGTTTTCCTTTCTTTTATTTCTTTTTCTCTTTCTTCTTTATTTAATTCTTCCTCTTTCCCACAAAAATCTTCACCTTAATGATTGAAATTAAAAAAGAGAAATTGCAAAGATCTATCTTCTCCTTAAATGATTAAAAAAATATTCAAATCACTTTCCTAAAATACAATTTTTTTAGCCTTTCAATTCTTTTAATTTTGGATTTTCCTCTTTCTTTTCTAGTTTCTCATTTTATTCCCAAGAAAATATCTTAAAATGAAATTGTGACCTGATTAATAATCATCAATTGAAATTTTTGACACGTGGCATCATACAAAAAATCAAAATTAGTTTTTGATACCTTTTAAACCTTCACCCAGAAATATGCAATTAAAAACTCAAAACAAAAATTTTCGTTGAAATGGAATTTCTATTGGGAAGGATGAAAGAGAGAAGAAAGAGAAAAAGAAATAAAAGAAAGGAAATCAATTTCATCTTATGATATTTTCTTGAGAATAAAATGAGAAACTAGAAAGGAAAGAGGAAAATCCAAAATTAAAAGAATTGAAAGGCTAAAAAAATTTTATTTTAGGAAAGTGATTTGAATATTTTTTTAATCATTTAAGGAGAAGATAGATCTCTGCAATTCCTCTTTTTTAATTTCAATCATTAAGGTGAAGATTTTTGTGGGAAAGAGGAAGAATTAAATAAAGAAGAAAGAGAAAAAGAAATAAAAGAAAGGAAAACAAGGTAAATGAAAAGTCAAAATAATGCAAGGGCAATTTTGTCCTAAAGGGGGTTAAGTGAGCAAAATTAAAGGTCAGGGGATAAACTGAGAAATTGGGTATTCTTTAAGGGGATAAAATGTGATTAACCCTATGCTTTATTATTGTAAAAATACTGTCACAAATTACAGTAAAAAAAAAAATGTCCAACCGTTCCCACCCCACTGTGCTAGTAGTAAAATTTGGGTGTTAAGGTCGTCAATTAGGCTAGGCTTGGCTCAACCCAGAAAAAAGCCCATTAAACTGATCGGGAAAATTTTGGACTTAACTATTAGGTTGAACTACGTGTGAGTCAAGTTTAGACCTGTCAAGTTCAAACCCGATCAATGTTTGGCTTATACATGAGTCTAATTATATATATATATATGTATAAAAAATATATAATAATATCAATAATTTATAATTATACATATTATGACATAAAATTCTAATAATTTATAGATAAATTTATAGTAATTCACAATTATAAAAAATATATATATTATATAATTATGAGTTTAGATGAAGTTGAATTTAAATCTGAAACTCATATATAATAGTACAGTGTGTAGCCTAAACTTAAGTCTTTTGATTTGAACTTGAAACTCGAAAGTTCAAAACCCAAAAACTAGGACAATTTACGAGCAAAGTCTGAATTTGCTCAATCCCGATTCAAAAAGGCCAATTGATACTCCCATTTGACGACGTGTTTTTAATTTGTCACCTTTGCGGGGACAAGCACATAATGTACATTCTACGGCACCAAATAAATATGAGCTCACGCCAAAGGCGAAAGCCTCCAACCCACCTCCTGCTGCGGGGTCTCGGAGACAGCCAGGGCCAGGCCCAGGCCCACAAGAGTAAATAACAATTAATAGATGCAACGGAATGGACACAATAGTCTAGATGCAACGGAATAACATCCTCTCAACGCTGGATTTACGTACCTACTCACTGGATATCTGTGGATGTTTTCGTTTGCAGAGAGGATAAGACCCTTTGAAAGCCAGCCGAGACTAGTGGTTTCTTCTTTGTTTGGTCCATGGTGATCATTGGAACAACCAATACTACTAGTAGAACATGGTAAGTAAAACGAAAAGAAAACAAGAGGAAGAAGAAGACAGTAAAAGGCTCTCACTCATAAATCATACTGGGAATCAGACGGTCTGCCAAAAAGAGAGCATACATACACTGCATAATATTTCAGATTCAGAGCTGAATTCAGAAAGCATAGGTTCGGGTGTTGGGAGAATCAGCGATTCTCAGAGTTCGTTCGATGAGCTTTCGAGCCTTCCTGCTCCTTATTTCCACTCTCATGCTTTCACTCTTCTCAATTTTGTCGTACGCTTTCTTCATCCTCAGAGACTTGAGGAGTTTGGACTTCAAATTCCCCACCAACTTCTCCAAGCCCCCAGTCGTCGTCGTCGTCATCATCGTCATCATCAACAACAGCCTTCGCTAATTCCTTCAACGCTCTTCTCTTAATTAAAGAAGAGTCGAGTTCCCCCTGCAAAATGAATCAAATGTTATGAAGGAAGGAAGGGGCACGTAACTAATCAGCTGGCAGCAGATGATGAACAGTCAGTTTTACATGCACCATAAAAGAGAAGCTACTACCTGCACCAGGTGTGTGTGTGTGTGTTTGTGTGTGAGAAAGAGAGGCAGAGAGAGAGGCAAGCGAGAAAGATCAAAGATGCTAAAACGAATGAGTTTATAACCAGCCGTTAGACTTAGACGTCAGAGTGCATTAAGTAAGAAGAAGAACAACAACAACAACAAAGTTGGAAGGAAGGCTAATCACGCAATCCTTGAGAGAGACCGGGAAATGTACGACCCTACATCTGATCTGACTGACTCGTAACGAACAAATTACTGTAACATTAAACATTACTGTAGATTAACAGTTGATTCATTAGTTCTGGCTGTAAATTACCCTCTGAGTTCAACAAGAATTCATCTAAAAAAGAAAAAAAAAGATTGAAATGGCTTTGTATATTGGAGCATGAGTGAGGGAGGATACAACGGAGTAGAAAAGGAGTAGTGTTGTTATAACGGACTGATTCTTTTTTCTATATAATATAATATATTCTTGTCTTGTTTTCTTGCCGTTGTATTTTGTGATGCGGCGTAAGTAAAAAGACTTTAACTGGTAGGAGTATCATTTTCTAGGAGTGGGCGCGGGTCGGGTACTCGCCCCATTCATCATTTGGCTTACTCGACTCGTATCTTGCGGGTCAGTCATTTTCTGACTCTTACCCGTCCCGTATTAGGGTACTCGCTGAGATAGGGTTGGGTCAACGGGGTACTCGTCCCTCCAATTTATCATTTAAATTTTTTTTAAAAAATGATTTATATCAATTTAATTTTATATTTTACACATTCATTTAAGATTTAATAAATCTTTTTTCTAAAAAAAGGTTTCCCACCAAAAAACAAGCATGTGAAGAGAATATAAGATAAAGGAAAAAAATTAAAAGAATTCAAAATCAATAAAAGTTTGAAATAAGTAGCACAATTTTTAATATATATGTTCCACATTAATTAAACTTTTTTCTATAAAATATAAGATCATGACCTCTACAAATGAATCTTGTAAATAAACTATAGTCTCTCATATTTGTAATGCAATTTGTTCAATAAAATTACTTATTTAGTTCTAACTTATTATTTTATAGTGTGTGTATAAAAATAAAAAATATATATATACGGGGCGGATCGGGTACCCGCAAATTTTTAATTATGTGATCCTAATCTGCCCCCCATCTTAGCGGGTACCAGATCCTCTTTTGACCCGATCAAATACTAAAAATCAAATATTCTAATTTTCGGATAGAATCGAATAGGATCGGATATAACGGATTTTCGGGTTAGCGAATAATTTGGCCCACCCCTATCATTTTCTCCACGAATTCTTCCGGCCTTTGAAAAGGGAGTAATATAATAATATGTATGTTCTTGAATATTCCCGCATAATTATTGTCATCTTGTTGAATATTTTCTTAGATTTGGACTAGCTAATTTGACAATTTAGGCTTATTTTTAGTCCGCGAAGAAATAGTAAAAGCTATAGCGGCATGAATCAATTGCTTTAAGCATTGTTGTTATTTGTTTTTTTTTTGGGATGAATAATAGATTCGCATAATCAAGCACGGCCAGAAAATAAATGTGGAATGTTTGGCTCGAGATTAGCAGAAAAATACAGGTGGACGGTTGATGTGGGCTACTTGTTGCAGGTGCGGGTGCAGGCCCGGCCCTTGTTGCATGGCTGTCCTCCTTCCACCAGTGTGGAGGACGGAGCTCGGGAGCTGCTGCCGCCGCCTAACTTCTCCTAAGGATGGGATAAAATGATTGAGATACGAGAATAATATGGATCACACAAACTGAGAAGTCCTAGCAGGAATCATAGATTGATGGCCCGCCATAATCAATCGACAAGTTACTGATTTTTTAACTGGTCGCCGGTCCTCTAATCCTCAGTGGGAAACCAAATGCAGTAACCTCTCCAACTCTAAGGGGGCGTTTGGTTCGCAGCTTGGAATCGGATTCGGATTTGGAATCGGATATCCTGGGTTTGGAATGAGACCTTTCATTCCAATACATCTGTTTGGTTCAAGTATCTGAAATGGGTATCATTACTATACTTGATGTTTGGTTCGTTGGTTCTTTCGGAATGGAATCTAATAAATTTCCAATTTTAACCTTACCTGTAAAATTGACAATAAACCTTGTCTTAGAGTTTCAAAAGAAAAATTACATAAATCTTATTAATAATCTTGTCATATGTTGGGGAGAGTTATGCAGGTTTTTGTATTTTTAAGGGTAAACAACAAAAAATCCCCCTGTGGTTAAGCAATCATACATAAAAACCCCCTGTGGTTTCATATCATACCAGTCGATATCCCGTGGTTTGAATTAACCTGAAAAGTAGACGAAAATCGTCAAAACAGACGGAGCTGAGTGAATAGACGAAAATAAGGGGGAAACCCGCAAGCGGGTTTCAGGAAGGCTATTTAACAAATTACTTAAAAAAAAAAAAAAAATTTTACATGCAAGCTGCGTTGAGTTGCACATGCCCATCGGAGGGCCCTAGGATGCCCAGCAAACCTCCCCTCTCATCCTCACCCTTCAGGTGAGGGTTTGAGAGTATGTGTTTGATATAAATAGAACAGAAACGCAGCTTTTAGTCATTTTACATAAGGGGGAAACCCGCAAGCGGGTTTCAGGCTATTTAACAAATTTATAATATTCCACGGTCTGCACTTCTAATCTTGCACCAATATGAAGTAGGTGGGTTTCAAGTGATAACTCAACTCACAAAATCAATGGTTTGAGTAACGCCTAAATTCCAATTCGATTTGCGAGTGGGGAACCTTTGGTGATATGATGCAGATCCGTACTTCATCCTATTGATACAAATCTGATGCTTATTGGTTTTGGATTCTTTTGCATTTTTTGGGTTGCATTTGAGATCAGCATTCAAGAAGATGATGGAATAAACTATGATTTTCATTTTGACCCCACAAAGTCAATAGCGGAAGACAAAACAAAAAAGAGCCAGAACCCACAAAAAAGAAGCACTAAAGCTCAAGAATCATGAAGATCTGCTAACTGCTAATATCAGAAGAGAAAACAAAATAAGAAAAGTGTGCAGATTTGCCGGACCGTACAGAAAGCATAGTACGTACTGCTCCCAAGAGCAAAAAATCTAAAGAAACTAGAGATACAAACCTTTTAAGGAGCAATCTACAAGGGAAATGGAAGATTGAGAATCAGCAGAAGAAGATCCACTATTGCACAAATTATTCTTGTTTATGGACTTGGAGAATAGAGAACTTGGAACAAGAAAACAAACAGAAGAAAACTTGCGTACCTCTCTAGTAGCACAGATGTGGTTTTCATTCGTTTTTTTTCTTCTTCCCACGGCAAAAGCTCCAGCTTGTCGTGTTTTTAAGGGGTAATTAGGGCAGAGAATTGGGGGGAGAAAGGCGACGGAAATAATGAAAAAGAGAGGAAGAAGAGGGACCGGGAATAAGATTTGGGTTTTGGACAAAACCCACGAACTTAGTCAGGAATGGAGAAATGACATATTTTTAGATATCATTCCAATATTTCAATTCCAATACCAGTAAACCAAACATGAGTTATGGGGTTTATTCCATAACCCCATTCCGATACCCTCTTACCAAACGCCCCCTAAATTCGATTGGGCGTTGCCAAAAGAGACATTCTGATCCTGTGATCAATAGGTCTTAAGTTCAAATCATTAACAGGGCAAGTAAAGTCGAACAATTGATCCTTCTTTAAATTAAAGAAAAAGTAAATAATCAAAAGCACTAAGGATTGTGCTAATTAACCAAGTAGTTGGCCCTAAGTAGAGTTTACTTAGGTGTAGGTCATGCATTCTAAAAATTCAGATTTTTTTGCAGGTTTCGTCAGTGTTTGGGTTGGTGTTGGTTTAGTTTCCTTCAATTTTTCTTGGACCTCTTTAGATTTCCCTCTCCCTAATATCGAGTAAAAATAGATTTTATCGTATCCCAAAAAAAAAAACTAAGGATTGCACTAATCACGTTATCGATGCAAATGGTTTGATGAGATAACAAAAAAATAGGTTAGGCACTGAAGTAATAATTCACTCCAAAACACTCTTGCAGCACTAAATATTTGCAGTTTAACTTAACTGTAATACTTCTACACAAAAATCAGCATGAAACATCCATTGAGTTAAGACATATCCTAATGAAAAACGGTCTGCCTCATGTCAAAACAAGAAACATATGGGCCATTGATTTGGAGTTGACCCAATCAACATAAACACGGTCATCTTACACACAATTTGAAGTTTGCCCCGTTCATTTCTCGGTCTCCACATCCCTATTGGGCCACAGGGAATAAGTCCATAAGAAAATTTTTGCCTTTCTAGGCTTTTCTCCGGGTACCCCGAATCATAACTCATCTTTGATTGGATGCGAAAAGTATAAGAAAGAAAGAACGTCTGGGGAAAGAACAAAAGCAAATCGAACCGAATTATTTTGCAGCTCAGAGGTTGCAACTAATCTTTATTTGAACAACTTCATGGTAGATTTTTCTTGCTCATTCTCTTATAGTACAATATTATGGGACAATTTCTTGCCTTTACAGGATTAATTAATTTCTTCCTCTTTTTTTTTTTTGTTTGTCGCGTTAACAAGTCATCAATTTTCGTAACTGGTTTTGCATTGCTTTGAGGATTGTTTGAACTGTGATAAGTTGAGTACAAGTAGGTAGATTTCATGAGAAAAGAAGAAACCAATTATGCTTTTTGAAGATAGCGTCATCGAATATGGATGTTAATTCAATTCATGCATGTGAGCTTAACAGGACATATTAAAAGGGTAAATTTGCAGTTGAACACATGCAAAACCAAGCAAAATAAAAGCATTTAAAAAGTAATAGAAAAATACAATTGATACATGGGCATTTTTGAGGCTCCATGAATTAGAGTTTTGGGTTCAAATTTCTTTGTCCTCTCTCCGCTTTTTAAGTCCTGCTCCTTCCCTGTTAAAAAAAAAAGAATGAAAAAAAATTTATATATGGGCCTTTGATTTCTAGTTATTCTTTCAAGGGGCATTTCCTAATTAAGTTAAGTTTAATAAAAAAAAAAAATTTACATTTGGATGCCCAAGAAAGTTTGTGGAAATTAATTTCATAGATGCAATTGCATGTACTAACAACTAACTAAATAAAAGTAGCTAAACTTTCGCAAATTACCATGAATGGATGGCTTATGATGTGTCAAAATACAACGTTTATATAGACGGCTGCGGGCACAACATTATATAGACGGCTGATTTGGTTTGACTCTGCAATCAAGTACATTGAGTCTTGTACTCATGAAGACGAATTCACCATTTGCTTGAAAAGGAAGGATGGGTATAAATAATTTCTTATTGTATCTAATCTTGACGTAATTTCCTCTGCTGGTCCATTGGCCTTACTATAAATGAATCGATAGACAAAGACAACCATCACTTTTGTTAATGAA